GGCTCCTCTGCCCATGGGATTCTCCAGGCAAGAATTCCAGAGTGGGTTGCCATGCTCTCCTCCAAGGAATCTTCCTGAGTCAAGGATGGAACCCACATCTTCCATGTCTTCTGCATTGGCAGGCAGGTTCTTTACCATTAGTTCCATCTGGTAAGCCCAATAGTGTGTATATGTCAATCTTAATCTCCCAATTTATTCCTCTCCCCCACCTCAGCCCCTGGTAACCATAAACTTGTTTTCTGTATCCATGACTCTATTCTGTTTTGTAAATAAGTTCATTTGTATGTTTTGTTTTACACTGTTGGTGGGAATGTAAATTGGTACAGCTGCTATGGAGAACAATATGGAGATTTCTTAAAAAACTAAAAACAGAGCTACCATATGACCCAGCAATCCCACCCCTGGAGAAAACCATAATCTGAAAGGATACATGTCCCTCAGTGTTCACTGCAGAACTATTTACAATAGCCAAGACATGGAAGCAACTTAGTGTCCATTAACAGAGGAATGGATAGAGAAGGTGTGGTATGCATATACAATGGAATATTACTCAACAATAAAAAAGAAAAAATAAGGCTTTAAATCATGGACTCTTTATAAAATCCTTAGGAGTCATGGTCCCCATTTTACAGATGAAAAAACTGGTGAAAGAGATGAGCTGCCCTTTCCTGGGGGTTAATTCTTATACATAAGCCAGGATCATTGTTTGTTTGAAGTAGTTTGATAACATTGACACAGCACAAAGCTGTTTCCCTATGGAGAGGAGAAAGGGGCTCCTGAAAGGGGGAGGCCATTTGTTTGGGGGGAAATTATACCAAGGACATAAAGATGCTATGTTTTAGAAAATACATCTTTCTTTGTATTGTCATACATTTTAAGAAATGTTCTTTTTGTTGACCATAGGATTAATGATTGATTTTGAATTTATCAGAATAACAAAGCAATAGTTTCCAAGGAGGGCAGGGACAGCTCCTAGGGAATATCTCAGAAATCAGAATCGTTTTTGTCACTTTGATGATTAGATGGGATGAGGAGCCTAGGTGGCACTCATGGGTGGAGCTGAGGAATCTAGGACTTCCATGTAAAATCTGCTTAAATTAAAGCATACATTTTTGTACAGTTTGAAGTGAATTTTTCTAGGACTACTGTAATTTTTCTCTTCTTTTATTGGAGCACAGTTGCTTTACAGTGTTGTGTTAGCTTCTGCCGTACAACAAAGTGAATCACCCACATGTACACATGTATCTCCTCTTCCTTGGGTTTCCTTCCCATTGAGGTCACCACGGATTACCGAGTAGAGCTCCCTGTGCGTGAGCAGGTTCTCACTGCATGCTCGGTCATGTCCAACTCTCTGTGACCCTGCAGACTGTAGCCCAGCAGGCTCCTCTGTTCACGGGATTGTCCCAGCAAGAATACTGGAGTGGGCTGCCATTTCCTCCTCCAGGGGATCGTCCCCACCCAGGGATCGAACCTGCAGCTCTTGCGTCTCTTGCATTGCAGGCAGACTCTTTACTTCTGAGTCACCGGGGAAGTCCAGGTTCTCAGCGGTTATCTATTTTATACGTACTAGTATTTATATGTCAACCCCAATCTCCTAACTCTTCCTACTCTCTCTTTCTCCCTTGGTGTCCACATGTTTGTTCTCTACTGTGTCTCTGTTTCTGCTTTGCAATTAAGTTCACCTGTCCCATTTTTCTTGATTTCACATATATGTGTTAATATATGGTGTTTGTTTTTCTCTTTCTGACTTTCTTCAGTCTGTATGACAGTCTCCAGATAGGACTACAACAAATTTTCTAGAAGATCAATTCTCTTTAAAACAGAGGGAAGATTGTATTTTGTTTTTATTGGAATTTTACCGAGTTGTTCACCATTTTAGAAAACCATCACTCTGCCCATAATATCTCAGTTACCATGGCAACACACCTATTAGCTGACATTAGTAGCTGGGTAATCACAGTGATCCTACTTGACTATAGACAAATATATTTATTTAGCTCTTATTTTTAAATGTTAGAAATAAAGAAAAAGGAATGCTTTTTATTACAATTGGTAAATCATTTGACTACTTGATTTTACATTCTAGTGTGGCTGAACTGAAGGATTCACATATCGAAAATGCATTATCCTACTTTATAGTTAAGGCACTGTGTTGACTTTTAAAATGATTGTTTGTAGTTATGTTGTCTTTCCCCAGTCATCAAAAACAAGACGGGGAGCTGACTGTGGCTCAGATCATGAACTCCTTACTGCCAAATTCAGACTTAAACTGAAGAAAGTAGGGAAAACCACTAGACCATTCAGGTATGACCTAAATCAAATCCCTTATGACTATACAGTGGAAGTGAGAAATAGATTTAAGGGACTAGATCTGATAGACAGAGAGCCTGATGAACTATGGACGGAGGTT